AACATGAAGAGTCATTGCACGCGCCCCCACGCGCCGCCGAGCTGCCGGATACGCGCACACGCGCGCAACAGCTCCTAGCAGCAAAATTCACGCGCCCCACGCTCTCTGCACCCACTCGCGCCACGCGCTCCACGCGCGCGGCACCCTCCCCCCTTACCGCGTGACGTCATGGTGACATCACGCTCCACTACTGCTCGAGTTGACTCGTCCGACCGAGTTGACCCGCCCGATTCGGCTGACCGAGTTGACCCACTCGCCCGAGTTGACTCGTTCGACCGAGTCAGCCATGCAGACCGAGGTGACTCATCCACCCGAGTCGACTCGGCCACCCGTCTCGCCCGGATCGGCCTAGTTGACTCACTCTGCACTGCGCGTCCACGCTTCCCGAGACGCGGTGACATCATGCCACCCAGGGATGATGTCACGGCCGCTTTCCCTGCACAGTTTTCCGTGCCCAAGCCGCCAATTTTGTCACTTTTCTCGAAAACTGCACTTTTACACTGCTTCGCCCATAACTTCTCGCTCACAACTCCGAATTTCGAAAAATTGGTACTCCCGGACTCCAAATTTCGCACTCTTTCATCTCGACCATCAAGATTTTTAGAATTCTCAACTTCAAAATTACCAGAATCCGAATTAACTCCAGATAATTCATCACTAGACTCATCCAACAACTTTAGACCCGACATCGAAATTCTACGCCTTTGTCAAGCGCGATTTCAAAACTCCTAACAACAAACAACGGATTTAACCAACCGCACAATGATTCGAATAAAGAAAAATAGAGGATTTGAAAAAGATATTTATACCTTTGGAAGTTTGCCAAGTATCCTTAAATCTCGCTAGCACAATTCTGGAAAAAGAAACCTAAAAAAAAAAAACCCTACAAGTGCATGGGAGGGCTTATATATTACTTCCAAGTAGGCTCACAAGCCCATGACCCAACTTGGAAGTGGGGGGCTTAATGATGTGTCTAATCATAATTAGGCCCATAAACCTAAATTAAGATTAGGCCCAAATTGCCTAATTAATCTAATTGTGTGTGAAAACTCAATTAGATTACTTTTTACCCTTAAATGACAACACAATGTCCCACATCGGATTTCTACGAAATTCTACCTATTATGTTTCATTTCACATAGGAAGGTACATTCTAATTTGGCAATTAATTATTATTATTTGCTTATATTATTACATCTTCTGACTTGAGCGTCGGAGGATAATCGCCGGGCCAAACTCGGCGTGTCATCTAGTGTTTCAATTGTTTTGTAGGTTAACGAACGGAGCAGTCCATTCGACTACCTCGGACACGTGGCAGTGACACTCGGCATTCTCTACCTTTGTGGGCTCAAGGACTCTTGGGTTGCTCAATTGGCATTTGAGCAGCATCACTAATCATTTCACCTATGCAAGCATTAAGTGAAAGATAACCTACCAACCCTCCAACTTCTTCTATAAATTGACCCCATTTGTTCTT